ATTTGAAAGTCAGAGTTACACAGAGAGAGAAGGAGAGGCAAAGAGAGAGTCTTCCATCCGCTGGCTCACTCCCCAATTGGCTGCAACAGCTGGAGCTGCGCCAATCGGAAGCCAGGAGCTTCTGGGTCTCCCACACGGGTGCAGGGGCCCAAGGACTTGGGCCATCTTCTACTGCTTTCCCAGGCCATAGCAGAGAGCTGGATCAGAAGTGGAGCAGCCAGGACTAGAACTGGCACTCATATGGGATGCCAGCACTGCAGGCAGTGGCTTTACCCACTATACCACAGTGCTGGCCCCAACAATAAATAGTTTCTTGTGGATTATTCAGTGATTCTTTCTAAAGACATAATTTTGAATACACATACAAATTTGTTAATGCTATAACCAGAAAAATAAAATATGTAGTTAGTAACTTTTTAAATTCAGTTATTGAAAGTGTTAATATATGGTTTAGAATACATGGATTCTAAATTCTCTCTGCTCTTGGACAAGTTACCTCTTGGTAGGTTGCAAGAAATTCGCAAAATAAGTAAAATGCAAATAAAGATGAAAGATACCCAGTTGTTTGAATTTCTCATTAAAAAAACAACTTTTTACTATGTTTGTTCCAAATATTGCAAGTAATTATTGCCTAAGATATATATTGTGGGATATATGAATATTATTGACATACTCATATTAAAATCATTCTTTATCTTTATTATATGTGTCCTGTATTTTATCTGGCAAGTATAACATAAACTCCCAGTATCTACTTGTAGGAATATGAAAATTGGAGTTAATATATGTAAAGTGGTTATCACAAAACCTAGGACGTAGCAGTATTTTTGTATACTATTCGCAGATTCAAGCATCTGCTGGTTTTTGTTTTTTTTTTTGAAAGTCAAAGTTATAGGGAGAGGCCAGCGCCATGGCTCACTAGGCTAATCCTCTGCCTGTGGTGCCGGCACACTGGGTTCTAGTCCCAGTCAGGGCGCAGGATTCTGTCCCGGTTGCCCCTCTTCCAGTCCAGCTTTCTGCTCTGTCCCGGGAAGGCAGTGGAGGATGGCCCAAGTGCTTGGGCCCTGCACCCGCATGGGAGACCAGGAGGAAGCACCTGGCTCCCGCCTTCGGATCAGTGCAGTGTTCTGGCCGCAGCGCGCCAGCCGAAGCGGCCATTGGGGGGTGAACCAACGGAAAAGGAAGACCTTTCTCTCTGTCTCTCTCTCTCTCTCACTGTCTACTCTGCCAGTCAAAAAGCTAAAACAAAAACAAAAACAAAACAAAACAAAACAAAAGAACAAAGTTATAGGGAGAAGGTGAGAGAAAGAAAGAGGTTGGTCTTCCATTCACTGGTTTACTCCCCAAATGGCAGCAATGGCCAGAGCTGAGCTGAGCTGAAGCCAGGAGCTTCTTCCAGGTCTCCCACATGGGTGCAGGGCCCAAGGACTTGGGTCATCCTCTGCTGCCTTCCCAGGCACATCAGCAGGGAGCTGAATCGGAAGTGGAGCAGAGAGCTGGATGGAACTCAAACCAGCACCCATATGGGATGCCAGCACTACAGGTCGAGGCGTTAACCTGCTGCACCACAGCACAGGCCCCATAACAGAAGTTTAATAATGATAATGATAATGATAATAACTAATAATGAGTAAAGTTAATGCTCTTTTGGGGCTTCTAGATAATCTGTAAGTAGGTATTTCATAGTGACCATCTCTCCTTCCATGTCATAGTTCACAGATAAGGCAGCAGAAGCATAGTAGTCTATCTAGGAATACTAACCAAGGAAGGGACAGTTTAATTTTACACACCTAAAGCTTTACATAAAGACTTCTTTATTATTAAAAAGTAAACCTCAGGGGCCAGCACTGTGGTATAGTGGGTAAAGCCGCCACCTGCAGTGCCGGCATCCCATTTGGGTGCCAGTTCGAGTCCCAGCTGCTCCACTTCCGATCCCACTCCAAGCTATGAGCTGGGAAATCCATAGAGGATGGCCCAAGTTCGTGGATCCCTGCACCTGCGTGGGAGACCCAGAAGAAGTTCCTGGCTCCTGGCTTCAGATCGGCACAGCTCCAGTCGTTGTGGCCATATGGGGAGTGAACCAGCAGATGGAAGACCTCTCTCTCTTTCTCTGTGCCTCTGCCTCTCTGTAACTCTGCCTTTCAAATAAGTAAATAAATATACTTCTTTAAAACAAGTACACATTTTTTAAATATTTACAGAGTCAAAATTCTTTATATTAATAACATCTTAGTTCTGGGGCACATCTTAGCTGTGGCATAGTAGGCTAAGCTGCCGCCTGCAATGCCAGCATCACATATGGGTGCCGGTTCGAGTCCCAGCTGCTCTTCTTCCAAACCAGCTCTCTGCTGTGACCTGGAAAGCCAGTGGAGGATGGCTCAATTACTTGAGCCCCTGCCCCCACGTAGGAAACCTGGAGGAGTCTCCTGGCTCTCGGCTTCAGATCGGCCTAGCTCCAGCTGTGGTAGCCATTTGGGGAGTGAACCAGAGCATGGAAGACTTCTCTCTTCCTGTCTCTGCCTCTCTGTAACTCTTCCTTTCAGATAAATAAATAAATCTTTAAAAAAAATCTTAGTTTTAAAACTTGAAAGTTACATTTACTTCTTTCAAATATAATTTCAAAACCATCTTTACAATGGACAATAAAGTTGTGGTGTTCACAAAAGTTCTAGTTTCCTGTTCGCCTAGTCTTCTAACTTCATGTAATCTAAACTTGTATATAATACACTCCTGAAACTCCTCTGTTGCAAGTTACCATCCACTGTTACAAAAGTGTCCTTCCTGCCACTGTGCTTCCTTTCAGCTTATCTTTGTTATATGAGCAACTTAACCTTTCCAAAACACACGTTTCATTATGTCAATCCCTCACTCAAAATACCAAATGAAAACTAACGGAATGAATAATGGGAAGGCCAGAGTATGGTGGCCCTTGAAAGTTCAATTTCAAGTGGGAAGTTTTGGGGGAGGGGATTAACACGCTAAAGAGGCATTGTTTTACTAGAGGATTCCAGTTAACAGTGGGCAGATGAACTAGAGATGGTGAAGATGGGTCAGGGCAATCAGCTGTTACAGGGATCAGGTGAACTGCACTGAAGGAAAGGAAAGCCTTGTAAGGCCTAAGCCTGCCAAAGAAATACTACCTTGCTGAGAGGTTCACAGTTTTAATTAGTAGACTCTTCCAATTTGAACAGAGGTTATGGGGTTTAATAAATATACAAAATGAAGAAATTTAAAGTATAGCAATTTGATTTTTTTTTTTTTTGCAATTTGCTTTTAGATTTAAAAATTGTATCTGAAACACCCATATGGGCACCAGTTCAAGACCCGGCTGCTCCACTTCCGATCCAGCTCTCTGCTGTGGCCTGAGAAAGCAGTAGAAGATGGCCACGTGCTTGGACCCCTGCACTTGCGTGGGAGACCAGGAAGAAGATCCTGGTTCCTGGCTTCAGATCAGCGCAGCTCTGGCCATTGTGGCCAGATGGGGAGTGAGCCAGCAGATGGAAGACTTCTCTCTCTCCACCTTTGACTCTGCCTCTCTGTAATTCTTCCTTTCAAATAAATAAATAAATCTTAAAAAAAAAAAAAAGACTGTGTTCTCTAGGTAAAGGTTCTCTTGGTTAGAAAGAAAACAAAATCCTGCTGTTAATTCCCTCTTCAGAAGTAGGAAACTTGTCTTCAGATTAACACAGCAGCAGTCAGAAAAGGAGTAAAGCCATGTGCAGTTAGAGAAAGCAGAACCTAGAATGGAATGCTCACAGAATCAAGCATCTGGAAATCTAGAAGAGTGAGTTATGGGATTTTGCTGAACAAATTATCAGAGACTTTGGATACTGTGGTTTCAGAAAGGGGAGTTCAGAATAAAGGCTGCAAGGGGATATGGGCGAGTTGATAGTAGGAGGTGGAAGCTCCCTTTGTATATTGCATGAACTACTATGGAATTATTTCTTACTTCTCCTGTGAGGGCAGCTTCATGATCATTGGCCTTCACCTGCAGCTTGTGCTAATGCCTTTTCACCTTCTACTGCTGAACTGTCCAGAATCTATCTTTTAATCCCTAACTCCATTTCACTTCATGAAGTCTTTCTTTCTTGAAGATATAATTTCTACTTCTTTCTCCCTTCTCTGAAATCTTACTGAGTTCATAGTTAAAACCAAGCTATTTAGCATGTAAGTATTATACAAAGAGCAAGCCTGCTGTTTTTCAAGTAGATAATGTAATTCCAGAGTTTGGACACTATATTTTTAAAATTTTATTCATTTATTTTTTTTTTTAATTTGACAGGTAGAGTTATAGACAGTGAGAGAGAAAGAGAGAAAGGTCTTCCTTTCCTTGCTTCACTCCCCAAATGGCCGCAACGGCTGGAGCTATGCCGATCCAAAGCCAGGAACCAGGAGCTTCTTCCTGGTCTCCATGTGGGTTCAGGGGCCAAGCACTTGTGCTATCTTCTACTGCTTTCCCGGGCCACAGCAGAGAGCTGGACTGGAAGAGGAGCAATTGGGACTAGAACCCGGCGCCCATATGGGATGCCAGCGCTGCAGGTGGAGGATTAACCAAGTGAGCCACGGCACCGGCCCCAAAACTTCTTTTAAATAATTGTTGGGAAAATCTTGGTTCATACTCATTAAAAGTACTCCCAGGTGCTTGGGCCCCTGCACCCGCATGGGAGACCAGGAAGAAGCACCTGGCTCCTGGCTTCAGATCACCACAGCGCCAGCAGTAGCGGCCATTTGGGGGGTGAACCAACGGAAGGAAGACCTTTCTCTCTGTCTCTCTCTTTCCCTCTCTATAGCTCTACCTGTCAAATAATAAATAAATAAATTAATGTACTCCCAGGCCAAAATTCTCCTAAATATTAAAAAATAACTGCTTAAAAATACCATATCAAAGTTTCTACTTCAACATGCTTTAAATCCTTTCTTAAGATAAAAATTCAAATAAAATGTATCCATTTTGATTATTTTAACAAGATAGCGGGGTTGAAACATTTCAATTTATTTATGATTGTCTAAACAAGGCACAGCCCCCAGATTTCTAGCAATAAACAATCAAATTTGGCTTGCGTTAAGTAATGTCCTTATAATCATCCCTATGGTAAAAGCGTGAACTTTCGCTAACACCAGTACAGAAGATGAAAAGATCATGTAACAATGCAGAGTTTTTAAATCTGTCACATAAGCGAGTTGACCACCTAGAGTCCCTGAGCTCACAACCACCAAGATTCTAGCTCCGGTTTCCCGTCAGTAGACGGAGGCAGCCAATTGGGCAGTCTGGGTGCCGTGCATCCTGGGAGTCGTAGTTTCCGGCTCCCTCCTTCAGACTACAGGCTCCACAGAGCCGCTGGAGGACGGTTGCCTGGTATTATTAGCAAGCGGCAAGTATGGCGGTGGCGCGCGTGGAAGCGGCTTTGCCTTCCGGAGAAGGTAAATCGATTCTCACCCTTGATTCCCACAGCTTATTCCATGGAGTTGAATTAAATAGTTGCCTCGTAGAGAGGAAAAGCCTGGGTTTCGAGGTGTAGTTCTGGACCAGTTCTTTTGATGCGGAGCTGTGGGCGTCGCGGGGGCGCGCTCCCTTCTGGGAGTTGTAGTCTCGGGGTGCCGTACCACTCGGCGTTGTCGCGGCGAGGGTCGTGCCGGGGACTACAGCACCCAAGGGCCTTCGCGTGGTCCCGCACCTTAGCTCCCGCGCTGTGGAGGCTGGCTGGGCGGTGGGTTTCAAGCTGCGGTGACCTTTCTTGGACAATTTGAGTTCTAGGTGCCCAAGTAGAATTTGTACGGTCTCTCTCTTTTGTTTGATGCATCTCCCTAGAACATTCAGGAAATCTTCCCTCCACCACCACTCCCTAGACTGACTTCTGCACTCTTCCTTTGAAGTAGCCAGTTGCCCTGATGAGTTCTGGAGGCGACCCGGACCCCACGGTTCTCAGTTCTTCGTTCTTCAGAAGGGGTCTTGGCATCGGGTTTGGTCGCTGCTCAGTAGAGCGTGGGTGTGGGTGCTTTTGAGGCCGGGAGATACCAGTTTGGGGCGCTGGACGTGAGCTCCTTTTGTTTTGGTTACAGCTCCGAGGCCGGGCTGTAGCCGTCCGAATCGGGAGCCAGGGAGCCAGGCCAGCGATCGAGGCTAGTCTCCACGTTAGATCAGGTGCTCCTTGTCTGGGAGCTATAAAGTAGAGGGGGAGGATTTGGTCGATGGTGTGCAAAAGTGATGCAATTTTCTGAGACAGTACGGCTTTCAACCGATTCTAAGAGAAGTTTGTGATTCCTCACACTCTTAAGAGCCATTAGACAATGGAAAACGTTGAAATCTTCCAGAGCAATCTCGCATTATTATTTACCAAATTAGCCCTAATCTGGGTATAAATTTGAAATTGCCAGTTTTTCTGGCCCCGCCCCTTCTGATAGCTGCTTCTCTTAAGCTCCACCTTCTAGCTCACCAAGACAATTTAACTGACAATTATAGTTAACCTGTACCTAGCACTTTTAGGGAGAGTGCTTTTCTTACAGTATCTCATTTGTAAGGACATTTGTTTTAGAGAAGTAGTAGATCCAGGATTTTTTTTTTCTTCTTTTTCGGCATACTCCCTCCCCACTCTCACCATGGGCAGATTTTGCTGGTAATTACACAGATGTTCAGAGAGGCTAAATGACCTGTCCAGAACCACACGGTGAGTTCAGCCGTGCTATTAGTGGAAGTCAGGATTTCTTGTTCTCTGGAACACCACTTTATGGTGGCTTCTCTTGGAAGACTCCAGAAATTGGGTAGGGTACAGGCAGGATCTAAATATTTGTTATATACTGAAGTGCTTTTATTAAGTGCTGTGTGCCAGGACTGGGGCTAAGTCCTATTCATATGATTTCTCTTAACCCTCACATCAACCTTGTGAAATAGATATGTTTTTTTCTGTTTTATAGACAAATTACCTGAACTGTATGTTGATTTTCAAAGTAGTTTGGGCACATTAGGATCTACCCATCAGAAGTTTAGCACCATTTAAAAAATGCTGTTATTACCAGAGCCAGTTATTACCTAGGTACAAATTATGGAAGTTGTATTTGTTTTACATGTGTTTTCTAACAAATTCTCTTCTCTTTTCAAGGATCAGTTGTCAATTGGTCAGGGCAAGGACTACAGAAATTAGGTCCAAATTTACCCTGTGAAGCTGACATTCACACCTTGATTCTGGATAAAAATCAGATTATTAAATTGGAAAATCTGGAGAAATGCAAACGATTAATACAGGTGGGTATTACCATTCGGAAATTGGTTACATACCACCAGCTTATTCAAAATAACTGACAAGGAGTAACTCTGCAGTTCTCTGCAGTAAATGTTGCCTTAAATTTTACAAGACAGCTTGGGTGCTACATTTAGAATAGACTAGAAAAAGAAAATCTTAAATTTATGTTAGCAAAATATTGTATTACTAAGCTAACCTTTTACATCATGGGAATAAAGAATTCATTCATTTATTCATTTGAAATGTTTATTAGGTCCCTCTTTTATGTCTGCGTTGTTTTAGGTTTTGACTGAGACAATAGAAGGATTCCAGGCTTTTTTTTTTTTTTTTCCCAAGATTTTATTTGTTTGAAAGGCACAGTTACAGACAGAGAAGGGGAGAGACAGAGAGAAAGGTCTTCCATTCTCTGATTCACCTCCAAGTGGCCGCAAGGGCCAGAGCTGGGCCAATTCAAAGCCAGGAGCCATGAGCTTCTTCTGGGTCTGCCATGTGGGTGAAGAGACCCAAGCCTTTGGGCCATTTTTCACTACTTTCACAGGTCATAAGCAGAGAGCTGGTTTGGAAATGGAGCAGCTGGGACTTGAACTGGTGCCCATATGGAATGCTAGCACCACAGGCAGAGGATTAGCCTACTATGCCACAGCGCTGACCCCAATTTTTTTTTTTAAAGATTTATTTATTTATTTGAAAGAGTAACAGAGAAAGAGAGGGAAAGACAGAAAAAGATTTTCCATCTGCTGGTTCACTTCCTAAATGTCCACAATCTTCTGATTTCCCAAGTGTATTAGCAGGAAGTTGGTTGGTTTGGAAGTGGAGGATCTGGGACAAGAACTGTCACCCATATGGGATGTGGGCATAGCAGGAGTGGCTTAAACCACTGTGTCATGCTAGCTCCAAATTCCATTCTTGTGGAGTTTACGTTCTCTCAAATTGTTGTCTTAAAACTGTCTTTAGTAATTGGAAGAGGTCTGATCACTGAGCTTTATCCAATATGTTCCATGCAAATGAAGGATCTTCAAAAACTTGATGAAAAGTGATATAAATTATGAAAGAACTATGCATAACTATGCATGGATTTTACTTTTTTTTTTCACCAAAATACTCTTGTCTTCTAATTTAATTTCCATGAATTTTTTGAAATACCCTTGTACTCTGAAAAGTACAAATTGGCTTTGTATGTTTGGGAATGTTTGGCCATCTAAGCAAACTTTTTTTTTTTTTTGACAGGCAGAGTGGACAGTGAGAGAGAGAGACAGAGAGACAGGTCTTCCTTTGCCGTTGGTTCACCCTCCAATGGCCTCTGCGGTCGGTGCGCTGTGGCTGGCGCACTGCGCTGATCCGATGGCAGGAGCCAGGTGCTTCTCCTGGTCTCCCATGGGGTGCAGGACCCAAGCACCTGGGCCATCCTCCACTGCACTCCCTGGCCACAGCAGAGAGCTGGCCTGGAAGAGGGGCAACCAGGACAGAATCCGGCGCTCTGACCGGGACTAGAACCCGGCGTGCTGGTGCCGCAGGTGGAGGATTAGCCTAGTGAGCCGCGGCGCTGGCCTTAAGCAAACTTTTAAACCACTGTGATGTGAAAGTCATATATATTTTGTTCTTGGAATAATTATATCTTTCCTTTCCCTAGTTGTCAGTGGCTAATAATCGGCTGGTGCGGATGATGGGTGTGGCCAAACTGACTCAGCTCCGTGTTTTAAATTTGCCTCATAATAGCATTGGCTATGTGGAAGGGCTAAAGGAACTAGTACATTTGGAATGGCTGAATTTGGCAGGAAATAATCTCAAGGTGAACTTTTTTTTATCAATTAGATTTTAAAATACATATATGAAAAGAAATTCCAGCAGCATAGAAATAAACAAAATAAAAAGCAAAAATATGCATCCCACTCCCCAGGGATAATCTCTGTTAACATAAACTAAAAAACATTGCATTTGAAACACTTGATATAATGGTCTTTTGTTGTGAACTAAGAATCTAATAACATAAAAAGGTAGATCAAATAATAGAATGCTTAGGAGGGAGATTCTGTCATGCTGAATTAAGCTTTAAGGAAATGTTAAGTGGTACAATGGAGAATAAACTGTTTTAAAGGTTAGGTGATCTGGATTCTAGTCCTGCTTTCACCACTTAGTAACTGTCTAATTTTGGGTAAGTTAGTCCATATCTCTGTGTCTTATTTTTTTATATGCTGGGTGAGGGCCCTAGATTAAATTGTATTAACAACTGCCTTTTATTGAACAATTTATGTAAGTATTATGCGAAACACTTGGTCTGTATTAATGTATGCTATCTCATGACTGCCTATGAAGTATTTGCTCGCTATGGAGATGATGAAATTGAATCACAGAAGTTGGAAAACTAGCCTAAGACCTCACAGCCAGGAAGTTGCAGAGCTTCGATTTAAATCCATACTGTTTGCCTTCACTCTTAACATGTAAACTGTTCCGTACCAGCTGTCATATGTTATCTTCAACCTGCAAATATCTAGAATATTATGAGCCACTTACTAGCCTGTTCTTTTAGAGAGATAACAAAGATAGAAGCTTACAATCTGACAGTTTATTAATTCCGTTAGCACTGTCTCCACTTTCTATTGCTAAGTTCTGCTGCTGTGTTTCCAGTAATAAGGAGAGGAGACAGGAGATTCTTTCAACTACAAGGAACTAGGGAAGAACTTCATTTTGTACTTTATGTGCATTAAATAACATAATTTTCTTGTGATAGGCCATGGAACAAATTAATAGCTGCACATCTCTACAGCATCTCGATTTATCAGATAATAACATACACCAGATAGGTGATCTATCTAAATTGGTATCCCTGAAGGTAAGCATATTTCTATGTCATTTCTGAAATTTTATACCAAAATACCAACAGAAAGTGATCTGAATGTCCTAAACTCAGACTGCAGCATATGAAAAACAGACTTTTTGTTATAAGAATTTTATTAGAATACTAGAAATTAATCATGGAACTTTTGTTATTACTTTTGTTATAACTTTTGTTATTACTTTCAATAACTGATGTATTTACTTTGAAACTGGTGTTTATAGTTATATCAGTCAATTTTCTGTTGCTATAACAGAATAGTTGGGATTGGGTTGTTTGTAAAGAATAGTTTATTTGTCTCATGGTTCTAGAGACTGAGAAAACCAAGAGCATGCCCTCAGCACCAGCACACAGCATCTTTTTGCTGCATCATATCATTCATATGGAAAGACAGACCACATGTCTTCTTCCTCTTCTTATAAAGTCAGAAATGCCATTATAGGGGCCCTACCCTCATGACCTCATCTAATCCATTAACCTCCCACAGGCCCAACCATTAAATACCATCAATATGTGAACTTGGGGATTAAGTTTCTAATGCATGACCTTTTAGGGGACACAGTCAAACCATAGCAGGTTAATTCTCAACTGAATATGACTGAATTCCCTTCATGCTCAATCAACCACTGCTAGTAGCTTTAGCTATATAGTATACATGTTGATGAGCCTTAGCTTAATCCTTCCTGAGCTTGAATCTGCTTTTTTTATTATTATTTTTATTTATGTTCATTTTATTTAAAAGGCAGAGAGAGATTGATTTTCCATCCACTGGTTAATTCACCAGATGACCACAGTAGCCAGAATTGGGCCAGGCTGAAGCTAGGAGCTAGGAACATAATCTGGGTCTTCTAAGTAGGTAGCAGCAAACCTACTACTTGACCCATCATCACCTGTTGCCTCCCATGGTGTGCATTATCAGGGAGCTGGAATTGGAAGCAGAGCCAGGACTTGAGCTCACTAACTTGGATGTGGGATGCTGGTGATCCAAGTGGCTCCTTAACCACTGTGGCAAACACCTGCCCTTTGAATCTGTTTTTTGGACACTGAACATTGTACTTGTATAGTAATAAGAATTAATTATTGAAGTTATTGTCATTTTAATTTAAAAAATAAGCATGTAGGATATAGCACTTTTTATGAAGGGGAATGTATCATGTAATCAAATAAGCAACAGTTGGAATAACAGCTTCAAAAAACATATATAGGCTCAGCGCTCTGGCATAGCAGGTAAAGCTACTGCCTACAGTCCCGGCATCGCATATGGGCGCTGGTTTGAGTCCCAGCGCTCCACTTCCAATTCAGCTCTCTGCTATGGCCTGGGAAAACAATGGGAGATGGCCCAAGTCCTTGGGCCCCTGCACCCACATGGGAGACCCAGAGGAAGCTCCTGGCTCCTGGCTTTGGATTGGCGCAGATCTGGCCGTTGTGGCCATCTGGGGAGTGAACCAGCAGATGGAAGATTCTCTCTCTCTCTCTCTGCCTCTGCTCTCTGTAACTCTGCCTTTCAAATAAGTAAATAAATCTTGAAACAAAAAAAATTATATATAGAACTTTTCCTTTGTTTCAATAGATATTAGCGTTAGATGGCCTCATTAAGCCTAGAAGTATTGTCTCAGCTCTGTTTTCCCCAGATCTTTAGCAGAAATCATTTTTAGCAACAATTATTCTAAATCATTTTATGTAGCCAGATGCTGTCCTGATAGATGCTAAAAGAATTCAGATGAACTAGAGGACTATTGAAGGCATGATTATCTGATTAGAATTCTGGGTGTTCAGGTTTATTCTGGATTATTGCTGACTGAATGTTAATCAGCTTCATCTGCAAGTATCACATTCTGCATTCCTCTGGATTTTAGTTACTGAGATGATATAATTTCAAGTTATGAGTTGTGGGTATCTCTCTTTTGGAGAATTTACTTTATACATGGTTGTTTTAATGACTTTTTAAAAAATTTATTTATTTTGAAAGATTTACAGAGAGAGAGAGAGATCTTCCATCTGCTAGTTGACTCCCCAGATGGCTGGGACAGCTGGTGCTGGGCCAGGCTGAAGCCAGGAGCCGGGCCTTCATCTGGCTCTCCCATGTGGGTGGCAGGAGTCCAAACACTTGGTCATCTTCCATTGCTTTTCCCAAACCATTAGTAGGGAGCACTCATATGGGATGCTGGCATTATAGGCAGTGGCTTAACCTGCTACGTTACAATGCCGGCCTTTTTATTGACTTCTTCAGTTCACTTTTCTCACCCTCTATTTTGATGTTTTAAAAAGATGTGAATAATTGTGTTGACATTTGCTTAATGTCTAATAACTTAAATCTCAGCATGATGGTTACTATACCAAGCATGTGTTCTTAGACAAGTCTTTAAACTTTTTTGAGCTTAGGATGTTTACATGAAAAGAAAAGTTGGACCAGAATACCACCTAGAACCATTTTAACATTATGATGAGATGATGAGAAGTATAATTAAATAGACCACTCTGTTCTCATATATGCTTTTTGATGTTGTCAAGATGGACCAATTTATATATAATCTTTCCATTTATAATTTATGCTGTTTTTACTTTCAAGACCCTGCTTTTACATGGGAACATCATCACTGCCCTTAGAATGGCACCCACTTATCTACCCAGAAGTCTGGCTATACTTTCTTTGGCAGAAAATGAAGTCCGGGATTTGAACGAGGTAAAATTTGAGGGTATTCTGTGGGATCCAGGGAGGTAGAAAGTCCAGAAGAGACACAGGAGAGGGTTGTAAGTTCACTTAGACTGTATCTTGAAAGAAACTGGCATCAAGATGCAACACTTGGCTCTAGATGAACGTTATTTTTCTTTCCACTTTTCCTTAATGTCAGTGGATCATTAAAACTTAATTTCATTTGTAATGCTACAAATACCATTCTACTGGGAGGTGATAGTGATAGAAGGACATCTGTGATACAGGGTTTAATAAGGCACCTTCCCCTGGCTGCTATTATGTTTTCAAAATAGAGTTCTCTCTGCTAGGAAATAGTGTTATTTTCTAAAGGACTTTGTGCCACAGGGACAAATAGCCATATTGTTGAGATTTTGGAAAGTCAGTGGGTAATAGAAGAGTATTACTTGTTGCTTGTCAGTACAAGAGGGAAATTGTTACATTCTCAAATGCTGCCAAAGATGTGTAATCAGCGGAAGCCCTGTGCTTGACACTGAATAGTCCATTTTGTTCAACAAAGCTTTCTTTTGTTCCAGATCTCATTTTTGGCGTCCTTAACTGAATTAGAACAGTTGTCGATCATGAACAATCCTTGTGTGATGGCAACACCTTCCATTCCAGGGTTTGATTATCGGCCATACATCGTCAGCTGGTGCTTAAACCTCAGAGTCCTAGATGGATATATAATTTCTCAGAAGGAAAGGTGAATGTGATCTCTTTTACATCATATTAATCACAAAGCTCCTGAAAAGACTGTTTCTAGCCTCCTGCAGATTAACACACTGAATATTTCTTATAATGTGCCATTAGAAATTAAGAGCAATAGTGCATTCATGTAGTAGACCATGTGCTGGTTATTTAGGATTTTTTTTTCCTTTCTAAAAAAGGATAAGAAATATCTGCTCTAGAGATTGGCACTAGTGAACCCAACGTAGTGCCCAACATACAACAGTTTGATTGCTAAAAGTGCTTTTATTAATCTTTTATTTCAAGCTTGAAACGTTTTTGCATAGAAGCCTTGTATAGGATCTCAGTTCAATTCCACAAAAGCTAGCATATCTGTAATGGAAGTATTCATTATATCTTAGAACCTAATTACCTTGCATAATGATGACTGGGAAAAATGCAGGCAGAATTCCACTTTGGAACCAGTAACAGATGTGTAGATTGGTCTTCCCCTTTGCAAGCCTGTGAACCAGTGCAAGTGGGCATTTCCCTTATCTCTAGATCACTGATGCTTTCTGTGGCTTGAAGCTGGGACCCCTACGGGATGGGGTCTTCAGGACATTGGCTCATGATAGGCGGAATAAGAGCTTCAGGGGAGGTAAGGAACCAAGGGTGTGGCCAGAGGGAGTGGAGTTAGGGAAAGTTGGGTTTGGGATGACTTTATTCTCTTAACTACGCCTCTTTTCACTCTTTGCTTTCAGTAGCTACTCACACACATTCATGGACAATTTTTCTCTATTCCTCCTCACTCTTATTTGTCCTCCATTACTGGAGATCAGCAGTACTTCCTTGGGTTTTCTGATGGGAGGATGAGCAGTACTTTACAGACAGCATTTCCCTGTTTCTTCTTCCCACAGTATTATGTAGTTATGTTGGGGCAGTGAGAATAGAAACTGGGAGCTAGATACTGGTGCTGCTGGTATAGGGTGAGGGACATTTGTTAAGGTTAGTTTTCTTACAAAAAAGGGTGGCGGTTCCTTTTTCCTACAGTAAGTGTTACTCCAAAAACAGATGTTATTTTGTTTTAAACCATGACTAGTTCTTAAGCTAGAATATGTGTCTATTTTGATGAGTTTCACTGGATCTTCCTTTAAGAAAAAGAAGATAAACATATTGGATTTTCCTATGGGAGTAGGACTTGCAGTATTTTCATATCTGAGAAGCAGCATAGTGAAGTGGGCAGAGATAGGGTTTGGTTGAAAGAGATGAGTCAGGACAAGAGGAGGCTTCACATATTTCATGTATTAGCTGCATGGCCTTGGAAAGTTCTTTAGCCTCTCTGAGTCTAAATTTTTTCATCTGTAAAATGTAGGTAATATCATCTAGCTCTCAAGGGTGTTGGGGTTAAGGATACTATATATAACAATGCTCATCATATAGTAAGTACATAATAAATTATCATTATTACATAAGGATAGACTGGGAATCAAAGAATTTGTTGAAATTAAAATGAGTATTTTAAGTTTTTTTTAATTTTTTTTTGAAAGGCACAGTTAGTTACAGAGAGATATTCCAACTACTAGTTCACTCCCCAAGTAGCTGCAACAGCTAGGACTGGGCCAAAATGAAGTCAGGAGCCTGGAACTCCATCTAGTCTCCCACATGGGTGGCAAGGATCCAATCACTTGAGCCAGATTCTGCTGCTTTCCCATGCACGTTAGCAGGGAGCTGGATTGGAAGTGAAATAGCTGGCTCTCATATGGGATGCCAGCATTGCAGGTCACAGCTTAAAAGCACTATGCCATGGCAACCCCAAGTTCGATTTTTTTTTTTTTTTTTTGAAGGGAGTACTAGTATGTGGATTCTTTTGTGAGGCACTCAATATTTGGTTATCTCTTGTGTTATTAGCTACTAATGATCAGTGCCTAAATCCATTAAATCAGTAAGAATTATAAAAGTATAAAGAATTATAAAATTATAAAATTCTATTATCCATTTTCTTTTTGGCTGGCCTGCTTATATGAAGTAACGGTATGATTACTCATTGGTATAGTTTGTATAGGCTAGATAGAATTAATCATACTTATGATTATGCTTATGTTTTATCAGTTACTTTTAGAAAAGTTTATTTACTTATTTGAAATGCAGAACAACAGAGAGAGAGATCTTCCATCCATTCATTCACTCCCCAAATGCCCACAGTAGCTGGGGCTGGACCAAGCTGAAGGCAGGAGCTGGAAACTCCACCTGGGTCTCCCATGTGGATGGCAGGGCCTCAAGTACTTGAGCCATCATCTGCTGCTTCCAGGGTGTGCATTAGCAGAAAGCTGGATTGGAAGTAGAGGCAGGATTCAATTCTAGGCACTCCAACATCTTAACAGTGGCTTAACTTTCTGGGCCATGGCATCCACTCTTTATCAGTTTCTTATACTGTTTAAGGTTTCTTTTATTTGTTTGAAAGGCGCATTTACAGAGAGAGGGATAGGGAGAGAGTGTTCACTAGTTCACTTTGCTAATGAACTAGGCTAGTGAACATCCGCTAGTTCACTCCCCAAAAGGCCCCAACAGGCAAAGCTGGGCAGGCCGAAGCCAGGAGCCCAGAGCTGCTTCTGGATTTACCACATGGGTGCATGGGCCCAAGAACTTGGACAGTCCTCCCCTGGTTTCTCAGGCATGTTAGCAGGGAGCGGGATCAGAAGTGGAGCAGCCGGGTCTTGAACTGGCACCTAAATGGAATGCTGGTGCTTTAGTTGGCGGCTTAACCCACTGCACCACAGTGCCAGCCTCTCTTTTATCAGTTTTTAAAAATAAGTTGATGGTTCATTAACGTCCTCCAACTATGACCAGTTAGCCTTTTTCTAAAACTGTCATTGTGATCTAATGGTTTCAAGTATAATTAATGTTTTTAGGTACTCTGGTTTGACAAAATTAATGGAAGAAATATTATTCCTTCCTGAAAATATTTTTAAAATAGTTGGAATCATTAGTGCAACTCTGTGGAAGAAAAATACTTAAAACATTAGAGTAATGGAAGTGAGTCAGAAAGAGATTTTTTTTTTATATTTTTTATTTATTTATTTGACAGGTAGAGTTACAGACAGTGAGAGAGAATGAGAGAAAGGTCTTTCTTCCGTTGGTTCACCCCCCAAATGGCCGCTACGGCCGGTGCTGTGCCGGTCTGAAGCCAGGAACCAGGTGCTTCCTCCTGGTCTCCCCTGCAGGTGCAGGCACCCAAGCACTTGGGCCATCCTCCATTGCCTTCCCGGGCCACAGCAGAGAGCTGGACTGGAAGAGGAGCAACTGGGACTAGAACCCGGCACCCATGTGGGATTCTGGTGCTGCAGGCGGAGGATTAGTCAAGTGAACCATGGCGCTGGCCCAGAAAGAAATGCTTTTTTGTTTTTCTTTTTAATTTATTTTTTGACAGGCAGAGTGGATAGTGAGAGAGAGAGACAGAAAGGTCTTCCTTTTCCATTGGTTCACCCTCCAATGGCCGCTGCGGCCGGTGCTGCGGCCGGCACACCATGCTGATCCAAAGCCAGGACCCAGGCGCCTCTCTCCTGGTCTCCCATGTGGGTGCAGGGCCCAAGCACTTGGGCCATCCTCCACTGCCTTCCTGGGCCACAGCAGAGAGCTGGACTGGAAGAGGAGCAACTGGGACAGAACCGGTGCCCCGACTGGGACTAGAACCCGGGGTGCCGGCACCACAGGCGGAGGATTAGCCAAGTGAGCCACGGCACTGGCCAGAAAGATATGTTTTTAAAACTTCAGAGAATTTTATTCTGAGAAACATTCTGTATAAAGGCAAATTAAGAAGGATGATAATTGTTGCTTATTAGTATATTTTGATTACAAAGAGTCATCTGCTCTTCTTTATTTCTCAAAATTCCAGTTTGAAAGCTGAATGGCTCTATAGTCAAGGCAAAGGGAGAGCATATCGGCCAGGGCAGCATATTCAGCTTGTCCAGTATCTGGCTACAGTCTGTCCTCTCACTTCTACACTGGGTCTGCAAACTGCAGAGGATGCCAAACTAGAGAAGATTCTGAGCAAGCAGAGGTAAGTGCATTTACTTGTGGCTGCTAATGAATTCACAGGTAGAAATGTCTGAGTCTTTCCTATGGTGAGAGTACACTGGAGGCAAGTGTTGCAGCCCACATTTCTGGGCTTTCAAGGATCTTTGGCAAGAAACACACTTGGTAGTGATGTCTTTTTTCTTTTTCTTTTTTTTTTTTTTTTTAAGTTTTTACTTACCTATTTAAAAGGCATAGAGACAGACATTTCCCATCTACTGGTTCACTTCCCATGTACCTGCAACATCCAGGACTCATCCAGGCTCAAACTAGGAACTAGGAACCCAATCCAGGTCTCCCCTTTCTTGAAACATTAGTTGCTGTCTGCCAGGGTATACGTTGGAGCTGAGACTCAAACTCAAGCGCTCTGGTACGAGATATAGGCGTTACAAACAGTGTGTTAACCACTACACCCAATGCCTGCCCCCTTATATGAGTTTTTAAGTACTAACATTAAGAAGTATGAGTATTCAAAAATTATAAATGTCATCCTGGCCAGTGGGGACCACTGGCCTTGGGGGACAGACAGAGCCCTCCAAGTGTCCCAGAGGAACATGGGCTGCAGCCCACAGACCAACAACTTGACACAAACCTCAGGAATTGTACTAAACCCCTGCCCCTAACTCTGCCCTCTGCTTCCACCAGCCCCTCTCCCTTAACTGCCAGCTGGTCCTGGGGACCACAACCTCTGCCAGCCCCAACAACTGCCCTGTCCAGTCCAGCCCAGCCCCTTCACAACCCTGAAATCACATACTATAGAAGGATGTGGATTAATTTTATTTTTATTCTTTAAATTAAGGTGATAAAAGTTGCCAAAGATACTACTGAATTCTCACATTTCAGGAAGCAAACAAAAAAATCTTTTGAGGAGAGACTTGCTGGATTGACCAGAAAAAGCAAAGAACTTTTGTTATTGTTTGTGGGGGTTTTTAGTGTTTTCATGTGTGTGTATTTTTTAAACTGCCTGGTACCAAAAAACAAACAAACAAACAAAACCACAGAACAGAAATCAAAGTGAAATTGTCATTTCAATCTTGTGAGGCTTTCTGGATGGGTGAGTGTGTGCAAGGGCAGGAGTGAGGGCCAGGCTTGGGGCTGCTGCAGGTGTGACTGGAACCCAGCAGAGAGACACTTGTGCTTGCTAAGATGGCTGCTGCTCCTGCCTTTCCTTTTGAGATTAAGGAAAAATCAAACAAAGTAAAAAAGACAAAAAAAAAGTGTGTGTATATATATATATATACACCAGTAAACGTAAAAGGCTGGACCAGAACAAGCCAAGCTCAAGTAGGTCATGTCAAAATTTGCAGGCTCGGTGCAACTCAACCAGGAGCATTCCTCCTCTTCGGTGATGTGACCTTGGAAGTCCTGTTTGTATAAAGACATCCTTCCTTCTAAGGGGTGTCCCCCAGCCCCTTCCAGGGTCTCCTCTGGAAATGAGGACCATGTTTGCACTATTGGGAACCCTGGGGGCTATACAGGAACAGCCCTGCTCCACATGGTGGAACCCAAACAGGGGTCTGGGCTCCCCAGCTCCCCCCTTCTAATATTTATTTCTATTTATTATTTAAAAGAGTTGCAGAGAGAGGTAGAGACAGAGGGAGAAAGGTTTTCCATCTACTGGTTCACTCCCCGTATGGCTGCAACAGCTGGAGCTGAGCTGATCCAAAGCCAGGAGCCAGGAGCTTCAGGGTCTCCCACATAACTGCAGGGTCCCAAGCACTTGGGCCATCTACTGCTTTTCCAGGCCATAGCAGAGAGCTGGGTCAGAAGTAGAGCAGCCAGGACTCAAACTGGCACACATATGGGACATCGGTGCCACAGGCAGGGGCTTTAACCTGTTGTGCCACATCACTAGCCCATCCACATCCCATTCTTCCCTAGGTCAGTGACAGTCCCAGGTAGCTGGGATTGTAGGAGGTAAAATAGAAATGAAAACAAACAGGAGGGGCCAGCGTTGTGGTGCAGCAAGTTAATGCCCTGGCCTAAAGTGCCGGCATCCCATATGGATGCTGGTTTGAGACCCAGCTGCCACTTCCGATCCAGCTCTCTGTTATGGCCTGGAAAAGCAGTAGAAGATGGTCCAAGTCCTTGGGCCCCTGCACCCACATGGGAGACCTAGAAGAAGCTCCTGGCTTTGGATTGGCATAGTTCCGGTCATTGCAGCCAACTGGGGAGTGAACCATTGGATGGAGGACCTCTCTCTCTGCCTTTCCTTCTCTCTCTGTAACTCTTTCAAATAAATAAATAAATCTTAAAAAAAAGAAGCAATCTAAATTAAAAAAAGAAAACAGTGAAAAAAATTTTTTAAACCAACAAAGAAAGCAAAAATCCTTTTTTGAGAAAGATATTTATATTTGCAGTTATATTTATTTTTTAACATTTATTTATTTATTTGAAAGAGTTAGAGAGAGGGAGAGGGAGATCTTCCATCTGCTGGTTCACTCCCTAGAAGACCACAATGACCAGAGCTGGGCCACACCAAAGCCAGGAGCCAAGAGCTTCATCCACGTCTCCCATGTGGGTGGCAAGAGCCCAAATACTTGGGCCATCTTCTTCTGCTTTTCCCATGCTCATTAGCAGGGAGCTGGATCAGGAGTGGACCAACTGGGACAAGAACTGATGCCCATATGGGATCTGGCATCACAGGGGGTGGCTTTATCTACTACCCCACATTGCAAGCTCATGTAATTTTATTTTAAAAAGTTATTTAAGCTAAGGAAGCAGGCTTTCTGGAAGTGGGGATGGGAGATGGGTGGCACAGGACATGTCAAGAGCTGTAACCTCAGAAGGCAGAAGAGTAGCTTGAATACACAGACTTACTCCAAGGGTACAGTCAGGACTGCCAGAAACCTGCAGATGAGAGTCCAGATGCCCAGGCCCCCACATGCCCCACTCAGGCCCAGACCCAAAGTTCTTTGGCTTGGGGGGCTCAGAGCACAGAGCAGACATTCCATAGAGAATCAGAGTCATTATAAAGCCTGGGAGATTGGGGCTGGTGCCGTAGCTCAATTGGTTGGTTAATCCTCCACCTATGGCACCGACCTCCCATATGGGCACCGGGTTCTAGTCCCAGTTGTTCCTCTTCCAGTCCAGCTCTCTGCTGTGGCACAGAAGGGCAGTGGAGGATGGCCCAAGTGCTTGGGCCCTGCACCTGCATGGGAGACCAGGAGGAAACACCTGGCTCCTGGCTTTGGATCGGCGCAACACGCCAGCCGTGGCGGCCATTTGGGGAGTGAACCAACGAAAGGAAGACCTTTCTCTCTGCTTCCTAGTTAACAATGCCCAAAAGGTACAAGTTTGCTAACTAGGTATTTTTTGTAATATTCATTTATTTCATTTTCATCTACTTGAAAGGCAAAAATACAAAGAAAGAAAGAGACATCTTCTATCTGCTGGTTTACTCCCCAAATGCTTGCAACAGTAAGGACTGGTCCAATTGGAAGCCAGAACTCAATTCAGGTCTCCCACATGGATGACAGGGGCCCAAGTACTTGAGCCATCATCTGCTGTCTCTCTAAAAAAGAAAGAAAGAAAGCCAGCCAGCCAGCCTGGGAGATTTAAAAACAAACAAACAAAAAAATCAACTGACAAAAATGCACTTTTTAGGGTGGGGAGAGAGAAGCTTTAAAAGTAGTAAAGAAAAAAACAACAAAAAGACAAAAGCAGGAAAAAATTCATTTTTCTTGTACATTAAAAAAATCGCTGGGACTGGCACTGTGGCACCGTGGGTTCACGCCCTGGTCTGAAGCACAGGCATCCCATATGGGCACCAGTTGTAGTCCTGGCTGCTCCTCTTCCAATCCAGCTCTCTGCTATGGCCTGGGATAGCAGTAGAAGATGGTCCAAGTGCTTGAGCCCCTGCACCCACGTGGGAGACCCAGAAGAAGCTCCTGGCTCCTGGCTTCAGATCGGCGCAGCTCCAGCCATTACAGTCATCTGGGGAATGAACCAGCAGATGAAAGACTTCTCTCTGTCTCTACCTCGCACTGAAACTCTTTCAAATAAATAAAATAAATCTTGAAAAAAATAAAAATCACTAAATGTAGGCTGCTACAACTACTGCCACCTCAAAAGAAAAAGTGCAAATATAACTGGAAGTATTCAGTAGTCACTGAAACCAGAGATCCTGCTTTTATTTTTTTTTAAGATTTATTTATTATTTTTATTTGAAAGTCAAAGTTATGGCCAGTGCCACGGCTCACTCGGCTAATCCTCCACCTGCAGCACCGGCACCCTGGGTTCTAGTCCCGGTCAGGGCGCTGGATTCTGTCCCGGTTGCCCCTCTTCCAGGCCAGCTCTCTGCCGTGGCCCGGGAGGGTAGTGGAGGATGGCCCAAGTGCTTGGGCCCTGTACCTGCATGGAAGACCAGGAGAAGCGCCTGGCTTCTGGCTTCGGATCAGCGCGGTGTGCCGGCCACAGTGGCCATTGGGGGGGTGAACCAACGGAAAAAGGAAGACCTTTTTCTCTGTCTCTCTCTCTCACTGTCCACTCTGCCTGTTTAAAAAAAAAAAAAAAAGAAAGAAAGTCAAAGTTACACAGAGAGAGGAGAGGCAGAGAGATAGAGAGGTCTTCCATCCAATGGTTCACTCCCCAACTGGCCGCAGTGGCCGGAGCTGCGCTGATCCGAAGCCAGGAGCCAGGAGCTTCTTCCAGGTCTCCCACGTGGATGCAGGGGCCCAAGGACTTGGACCATCTTCTTACTGCTTTCCCAGGCCATAGCAGAGAGCTGGATTGGTAGAAGAGCAGCCAGGACTAGAACTGGCACCCATATGAGATGCCCGCACTTCAGGCCAGGGCGTTAACCTGGTGTGCCACAGCACCAGCCCCTATCCTGCTTTTAAATATTTGTGCAAGTTGATTATGTGCATATGAGGGTGTCTCTGCAATTTAAAAATGTTTCTTCACCTTTTGTATCCTATCATTCTGATGAGATTTGTTGATTTAGTAGTGATTAATGGTACCTAATTTGGTGGTGGACATTGTGGTGCAACTTGTTAAGCTGCTGCTTAGGACACCAGCATCCCATACTAGAGGGCTGGTACTTGAACTTCTTATTCTACTTCCTGCTGTTCACACCCTTGGAGACAGCGGATGATGGCTCAAGTACTTGGGCCCCTGCCATCCATGTGGGAGACCTGAATTGAGTTCTGGCTTCCAACTGGACCAGTCTTTACTGTTGCAAGCATTTGGGGAGTAAACCAGCAGATGGAAGATGTCTCTTTCTTTGTATTTTTGCCTTTCAAGTAGATGAAAATAAAATAAATGAATATAACAAAAAAATACCTAGTTAGCAAACTTGTACCTTTGGGGCATTGTTAACTAGGAAGCAGAAAGCCTTCTATTTATGGGTTATGTTAGATCCCAACAGATGTTATTGATTTTTAGGTTTCATCAGAGACAGTTGATGAACCAAAGCCAAAATGAAGAGTTGTCTTCACTTGCTCATGTTGAAACAAGGGCAAACCTTGTACCTGAGCATTCAAGTCCTGTTCAGGATTGCCAATTAGTCCAGGAAAGCGGTAAGAAATTAATTGATCTCTGATTGCTTTTTGCCAAATTGTTTGATTTGCTGACTATATTAAACAGAAAAAAAAGGGCCATTTTTTAGTTTTTCTATTAGTTTGTTAACTCAAGTGATGATTTGGGTCTTTTATTTATGGATATGCAAATGTGTATGTATATATATATATAGTTACTATCATATTTCCAGCTTTTAAACAAAGATTGTTACCTTTTCTTTAGACCTGATGTTTTGATTATTCTTAGGATTATATGAAGAATTAATTTTATTAAAAATGTTTGGTTTGATGTTTTAGACATATTGGAGGAAATAAATGAAGGCTTTTTGTATTTTATTATATTTCAGGAATTAGATTTCATTAAAAGTATATAACTAAAAAACTCTTTAAATATTTAGTGGTTTAAAAGATACTATCTTGATTCTTCTAGAACCCTTCATCCAAGTCAATTCTTGGGTTGGGATAAGCAATAATGACGACCAATTGTATGCTGTTAAGAATAACTTCCCACCTTCTGTGCATACTGCAAGATATTCTCGAAATGACCTACACCTTGAAGACATACAGACTGATGAGGACAAATTAAACTGTAGCCTTCTCTCTTCAGAATCTACTTTTATGCCAATTACTTCAGGACTATCTCCAGTCTCTCCTACAGTTGAGCTGAAGTTACAGGGCATTAACTTGTGCCTAGAAGATGATGATGTTACAGATGAATCTATGATACGACTGGAAAACCAGAACTTGGATAAGGAAGAGGAAAAGTCTTTATGGGCTGCAAATGAGAATTGTGTTCAACCGATAAAAAATGAGATGAGTAAAGAGGTAAATGAGAAAAGTAGGCTGTTACCTTGTTCTGAGCCAACACTAGTCAGTGCTGTCCTAAAGGATGATAACCATAATCTTACATCTTCTCCTGAGTCAGTTGGACACATCTCTCATATACAGCCAGACAGTGAAGAAACTATGTCTCAAACAGCTTCAGAAAAAGTTCCCTGCAGGGTTTTAACCCAGAGATCTGTTGCTTTGGGAGAAGATAAAATTGCACTTCAGAAGTTGAATGAGGCAGCCACTAAGCTTCAGGCCTGTTGGCGGGGCTTTTATGCCAGGAACTACAACCCTCAAGCCAAAGATGTGCGCTATGAAATCCGGCTGCGCAGAATGCAGGAGCACATTGTCTGCTTAACTGATGAAATAAGGAGGTGGGTTAAAAATCCTGTTGGAGTTCTGTTTTGTTGGTTTGGAGTGTCAAGTTCTTTTTTTCTTTCTTTTTTTCCTTTTTAAGATTTATTTATTTGAAAGGCAGAGGTATAGAGAGAGAAGGAGAGACAAAGAGACAGAGAGACAGAGAGAGAGATCTTTTATCTACTGGTTCACTCCTCAAATGCCCACAACAACCATAGCTAGGCCTGGCCAAAGTCAGCAGCCAGGAGCTTTTTCCTGGTCTCCCACATAGGTACAGGGGCCCAAGGACTTGAACCATTCTCTTCTGCTTTCCCGGATACATTAGCAGAGAGCAACTGGAATAGAAGTGGAGCAACTGGAATTCAAACCAGTGCCCATATGGGATGCTGGCGCTGGAGGCCATGGCTTAACCTGTTGTGCCACAGTGCCAGCCCCAGGTTCTTCTTTTTAACATCCTAAATATATATTTTTTTGACAGGCAGAGTGGACAGTGAGAGAGAGAGAGAGAGACAGAGAGAAAGGTCTTCCTTTTCCGTTGGTTCACCCCACATTGGCCACTGCAGCTGGTGCACTGTAGCTGGCACGCTGCGGCTGGTGCACCGCGCTGATCCGAAGCCAGGAGCCAGGTGCTTCTCCTGGTCTCCCATGGGGTGCAGGGCCCAAGCACTTGGGCCATCCTCCACTGCCCTCCCAGGCCACAGCAGAGAGCTGACTGGAAGAGGAGCAACCGGGTCAGAATCCGGCGCCCCGACTGGGACTAGAACCCGGTGTGCTGGTGCCGCAGGCGGAGTATTAGCCCATTGAGCTGTGGCGCCGGCCTAACATCCTAAATATTTCTTCAAGATTTATTTATTTATTTGAAAGTCAGAATTACACAGCGAGAAGGAAAGGCAGAGAGAGGGAAAGGCCTTCCATCCAATGGTTCACTCCCAAATGGCCGCAATAGCCGGAGCTGCACCAATCAGGAGCCAGGAGGGGGACCTCCGGATCTCCCATGCAGGTACAGGGGTCCAAGGACTTGGGCCATCTTCCACTGCTTTCCCAGGCCATAGCAGAGAGCTGGATCGGAAGTGGGATAGCTGGGTCTTGAACCGTGCCCATATGGGATGTCAACACTTCAGGTGGTGGCTCTACCTGCTACACCACAGTGCCGGTCCCAACATCCTAAATATTTTAACCTGAAACATATAAGTGTACATTTTTCAATCTTTTGAAGTCCAATCGAGGTTTTTCTTCTTTGCTGTTTGGAATCCAGCATTCTTTCAGCATAAGCCAAGGCATAAGAAAATCTGTAACATTTCTAATTTGAATATATTTAAAGTAAAACAGGACCATAAATATATGAATATAAAAACGAGTGAATAATTCTGGATATTTATGATTTTTTCATCAGTCCTTCCAAGTTGGGATCCAGAAGCAATTTGTTGTTGTGCTTTTTGTTTTTTTCTGGTTTTTTGTTTGTTTGTTTGTTTAAGATTTATTTGAAAAACAGAGTGACAGAGATCTTCAATCCACTGATTCACTCCCCAAATGGCCACAGTGGACAGCACTGGGCCAGGCCTGAGCCAGGAGCCGGGAGCTTCTTCTGGGTCTCCCACAAGGATTTAGGGACCCAAGGACTGGGCCATTTTTCATTGCTTTTGCAGGCCATTTAGCAGGGAGCTGGATCAGAAGTGAAGCAGCTGACATTTTAGCTGGTATCCATATGGGATGCTGGTGCTGCAGGCAACAGCTTTAACCACTCTGCCATGGCGCCAGCCCCAAGCTTTTTTTTTTTTTTTTTTAGATAAATTTTAAGTTTACATTATAGTCAAAGGCTGATGGCTCTATTAAATAAAGAATTCAACAAATAAAAAGCAAAAAGAGCATTCTAGAAGGTAAATGGGCAAGAGCTATTAAACAATAATCAAAGGAAAAGATGTTCAACTTTGGTCATATAAATTTTAAAGTAGTCACAAAATCATTAAAACTATAATAGTATATAATTCCTTTCAATTTATTTAACAAAGATTTAATACAAAGTTTGACAAAGTATTGTATTTGTAGCAGTGCTGATACACATGAAATATCTTTAATTATTATTATTTTTTTAAATTTTAGCTCCTACATTCAATGGAGAACATGTGGTATTTGTCTTTATGTGTCTAGCTTGTTTCACTCAGCATAATGTCGTACAGTTCCAACCATTTACTGCAAATGATAGAATTTCTTTCTTTTTTATAGCTTCATAATATTCCTGTGTTTATGTGTATGTGTGCGTATAAATACACACACCAATATTTTCTTTATCCATTCATCTGATGATGGATACCTTAGTTGATTCCATATTTTCACTATTGTGAATATTGCTGCTATAAACATGGTGGAACAGATATCTCTTTGATACAATAGGTTTGTGTCTTTTGTGTATATACCCAGTGGTGGAATTGCTATGTCATATGGCAGGTCTATACCTAGTTTTTTAAGAAATCTCCATAATCTGAGGCCGGTGCTGTGGTGCATTAGGTTAATCCTCCACCTGCAGCACCGGCATCCCATATGGACGCCAGTTCTAGTCCCGGTTGCTCCTCTTCCAGTCCTGCTCTCTGCTTGGCCAGGGAGGGCAGTAGAGGATGGCCCAAGTGCTTGGGCCCTGCACCCGCATGGGAGACCAGGAGGAAGCACCTGGCTCCTGGCTTCAGATCAGCGCGGTGTGCTTGCTGCAGCAGCCATTGGTGGGTGAACCAATGGAAAAAGGAAGACCTTTCTCTCTGTCTCTCTCTCTCTCTTACTGTCCACTCTGCCTGTCAAAAAATTTTTTTTGAAAAGAAATATCCATAATCTTTTCTGTAGTGGCTGCACTAATTTTCATTCCCACCAGCAGCATATGAATTCTCTTTTCTCTATTTCCTTGATAGCATTTGTTGCTCTCTGTCTTTTGGATAATAGCCATTGTGACAGGAGTGGGGTGATACTGTAGATTTGGTTTGCATTGCCATGATGGCTGGTGATACTGAACTTTTTTCCATATATTTGTTAACCACTTGTATTTCTTCTTTTGAGAACTGTCTATTCAGTCCTTTGCCCATTTCTTAAGTGGATTTGTTGTTTTTGTTTGTTTGGGTGTGGTGGATTCATAGTTGATTCAGACAACTATGCTACTGCTGTCATAACATATTTTATACCATGTAGCTAATATTAGTTTAGTTTTTTTTTTTTTTTTGGCTAGGAAGTATATGCCCCATCTTTTTTTTCCTAAATTTTTACAAAGGTTTATTTATTTGAAAGGCAGAGTTACAGGTTGGCAAGGGCAGAGAGAGAGGTCTTCCATCCACTGGTTTACTCCCCATATGGCTGTGCTGGCTGGAGCTAGGCAGATCTGAAACCAGGAGCCTGGAGCTTCTTCCTGGTCTCTCGCCTGGTTACAGGGGCCCAAGGATTTTGGCTATCTTCAGCTGCTTTCCCAGGCACTTTAGCAGGGAGCTGGATTGAAGGTGGAGCAGTCGGGACTCAAACCAGCACCCATATGGGATTCCGGCACTGCAGGTGGCAGCTTTGCTGCTACACTACAACGCTGGCCTCTACTTGTTTGTTTTTTACAATACACTGAAAGCATATTTTTTTTAAAAGAGTCATTTATTTGTTTTAAAGGCAGAGTTAGAGAGAGAAGGAGTGAGAGAGGGAGGGAGAGAGAGAGTTATTTTGCATCTGCTGGCTCACCTTCCAAATAGCCACAACAGCCAAGGCTAAGCCAGGCTGAACCCAGGCTGAATCCAGGCTGAAACTCTATCCCAGTTTCCCATGTGGGTACGTGGTACAGGTACCCAGGTACTTGGGCCATCATTTATTGCTTTCACAGGCAGGTGCCTTAACAGGGAGCTGGATTGGAAGTGGAGCAGCTGGGAGTTAAACCAGTACCCATATGGATGCCAGCATTGCACGCAGTGGCTTAACCTGCTGTGCCACTGTACTGGCACCCTGCAAGTGTCTTGAATGCAAAGACTTTGCGTCACCATTTTCGGCACAGCAACTGGTACATAGATGCAGGGGTGCAATGAATGTTGAGTGACTGAGCTTTACAGGCAGGTGTAATTATACACACATATACAGCCAGTGTAGGAAACAGAGTAGGCATTAAAATGGAAACATGAGGAAGTCTACCTAAAACTTAGTAGGTGACATAGCATGAAAGAAAATAGCCAAGGTTCAAAACGGGGTTAAAATTCTGGGACTGTAGTAGGAATTATCCCTTAATTCCATGATTCATATGTTTTACTGACTACCAACCCAGAAAAATTAGGATTTCGTTGTTGTTGCAACTAGTGATATACATTAATATTTGCAGGTGAAAGAAGAGAAGAGTCTGTGTTCCTAGCTTTGGCCTGGTCCAGCCCTGGCCACTGTGGCCATTTGGGGAGTGAACCAGTGAATGGAAGGTCTCCCTCCCTTCTCTTGTCTCTCTCTCTCTCTTTCTGTTTGTAACTCTGCCTTTGAAATAAGTAAATAAATCTTAAAAAAGAGGCTTATGTTTGTCACAGGCCTAGGAATGGAGATGATGACAGTGAGCCTGGAGCTAAGATTTGAATGAATGTGGAAAGAAGATGGATGAGGAATTCTGTAGCTAGCAGGGAGTGTTCAAGGTCTGTAACAGAAGAGAAAGTGAGGTTCACTGGGATTAGTCCAGCCATTCTCATAGAAGGGTGTTTCAAGCTGTGATCCTGAGTGTTTAACTCAAGTTTAATCCTTAACTGCTTTGAAGGCTTTGAATAACCACTTATTTCTGTACTTCCTTCCCCTTCCATGTGTTTGGCCAGGAAATTGAAAGTATTTTAATATTTTATTTTATTTCTGTCACTGATAATGCTTTGTAGGAGTAGTATCTGAATTTCAGTTAAATCTTGTTTGGCTTCTACTTTGAGTCATTATTTAAAACTCAGATTTTAGTTTAGATAGTCTAAAAGTAGAAAGGACTATTATTAGATTACGAATCTTTTTCCAGTGCCTACATTTAGTAGTTTTAATAGGAAGTGTGAGTCAAAGTACCCTTCCTTGTGTCAATAATATATTTTGAACTATTGCAGATTAAGAAAAGAAAGAGATGAAGAACATATTAAAAAAATTGTACAAGAAGAGGCTGTCAGATTCCTTTGGAACCAGGTAAACCCTATCCTGCTAATTTGCCTATATTTAAATAAGGAAAAATTCAAGATTCGTTGAGGTAATTGTGGAGTAACCATGTATATTAAACACCTTTTCTCAAGATTGTGTTTGGTTTGTGTCCTTTACCACTAACTCTGAACTAAGACAGTGAATTTTGTTATATTTTATTTATTCTGAAGAAACATGTAATAATAATTTTAACAAGAAAGATATAAAGTAGTAAAAAGCCAAAGGAAAATGGCTTAGTTGAAGGATGTTACTATGATTTTCAAATAAATAATAAAAAGCCAGTTTGAAGTGTTATGTAACTATTTTGCTTTTGGGAGTATTTGGAAGAACAATGATTAACATGATATATGATGGCACAATATGCATGTCCTAAAAAGTGCATGAATGCTTGGCAGAATGAGTTTGGTACAATATTTATAAATGGTTTAGGCAATTTTCTTTTTCTTTTTTTTTTTTTTTTTAAGATTTATTTGAAAGGCAGAGTTACAGACAGAGAGAGAGACAGAGAGAGGTCTTCTATCCACTGTCACTCCCTAAATGTCCACAACAGCTGGGCCAATCCTAAGCTAGGAGCCAGGAGCTTCTTCCTGGTCTTCCACATGGGTACAGGGACCCAAGCACTTGGGCCATCTTCTACTGCTTTCGCAGGACATTAGCAGGGAGCTGGATCAGAAGAGGAGCAACCGGGACATGAACCAGCACCTGTTGGGATACTGACACCAGAGGCAGAGGCTTATCCTACTACCCCACAGCACCAGCCCCAGCAATTTGCTTTTACTAGAATTGCATTACTTTTGATGGTAATTTATTGGAAATATATATTTTTAAATTTTTGCTTATTTATTTGAAAAAGAGAGACAGACATCTTCCTTCCATTGGTTCTCTCCCCAGATGCCCACAACAGCTAGGGCTAGGCCAGATGGCAGCCTGGAAGTCAGTTCATGTTTCCCATGAGGATACCTGGGACCCAAGTTCTTGAGTTACTGTTTGCAGTCTCCCAAGATGTGCATTAATGGGAAGCTGGAATCAGAAGTAGAACTGGGATGTGAACCTAGGCACTTTAAAAGAGGGTGCAGGTATCCCAACTGGCATTTTAACCTCTGGCAAAAGAACTGCCCCTTGGAAATATATTTTTATATATTTCTTTAAAAGTCAGAGAGACACACAGAGAGATCTTGATGGTTCACTCCCCAAATGCTGCAGAGAGCTGGAGTTGGGCCAGGCTGAAGTTAAGAGTCCAGAACTCAGCCTGGATTTCTGAAGAAACATGTAATAATAATTTTAACAAGAAAGATATAAAGTAGTAAAAAGCCAAAGGAAAATGGCTTAGTTGAAGGATGTTACTATGATTTTCAAATAAATAATAAAAAACCAGTTTGAAGTGTTATATAACTATCTGTTTTGCTTTTGAGTGTATTTGGAAGAACAGCGACTAACGTGATATATGATGGCACAACATGCATGTCCTATGGATGGCAGGGACCCAAGTTTGTGAGCCATCAACCTGCTGCTTCCAGGGAGTGCACCAGCAAAAAGCTGGAACTGGAAGCGGAACTAGGACTTTAACCCAGGCACTGTAATATGAGATGCAAGTATCTCTGGCCACTTTGCCAGACACCCACCCCTGGAAACATATTTATTGACAAACTTCTTAATAATAGGATTTGACCTATAAAGTTAAAGAATTGATTTTTAAGCTTTTGCAATTATTGTCAGTAGGAAAGAGTTACAGAGAGAGAGGAGAGGCAGAGAGAGAGAGAGAGAGGTCTTCCATCCGATGGTTCACTCCCCAAATGGCTGCAAAGGCCGGAGCTGCACCAATCTGAAGCCAGGAGCCAGGAGCTTCTTCCGGATCTCCCACGCGGGTGCAGGGGCCCAAGGACTTGAGCCATCTTCCACTGCTTTCCCCGGCCATAGCAGAGAGCTGGACAGGAAGTGGAGCAGCCGGGTCTCAAACCGGCGCCCATATAGGATGCTGGCGCTTCAGACCAGGGCATTAACCCACTGCGCCACAGCGGCGGCCCTTCCACTTGGTTCTAAATACTCCCTTTTTATTTGAAAATACATAGAAAGCAATCTGCAGGGGTACATACCACACTGCTATCAGTGATTACCTTATAGTATGGTCAAAGGGAAACTAAAAATTCTATATATTTTTTACAGTAAACCTTTGAAATATTTATTATACTTAAAAAATGTAAAGATCATATTAATAAGAACTGGAGATATTTTAAATATATTCCAAAGTTATATAGTATATTGTTAGATAATATTTTTTTAAAGATTTATTTTATTTATTTGAAAGAGTTGCAGAGAGAGGAAGAGATAGAGAGAGAGGTCTTCCATCCATTGGCTTACTCCCCAGATGGCCACAACGGCCAGAGCTGTGCTGATCCAAAGCCAGAGCCAGGAGCTTCTTCCGGGTCTCCCACGTGGGTGCAGGGGCCCAGGGATTTGGGCTGCCTTCTACTGCTATCCCAGGCCATGGCAGAGAGCTGGATCAAAAGTGGAGCAACTGGGATTAGAACTGGTTCCCATATGGGATCCCGGCGCTTCAGACCAGGGCTTTAACCCACTGCGCCTCAGTGCCCGCCCCGTTAGATAATACTTAAAAAGTTATTTTTACATGGATATCTAAAATGAGGCTTATTTTTATATGGTCTATTTATATTAATAGGTTCTTATTTATCTTACTGAATAGACCTCAGTGTGTACTGAATGCATAATTGACCGCTTAGCTAGCTAGACATGTAGTGTTGTGCTTCTGATTGTTTTTCTAGTAGAAGTAAGATAATTTCTTTGACCTTCTTAACTCTTCTGGTGAGGGCTTTCTGTTGCTGAGGATGAGTACCATCAGCCTGGTTTAGGCTGGAGTGCTATGGAAAGCATAAGACCAGTCCAGAAGTTTCTAACTCCAGTTCTGTCGTTTATCAACTTCATGACTCCTGGGAAAAAGCTCAAAGGACATTTGAAAAACAGGTACAGTTTTTGTTTTATAATAAAACTATATCCTCTGACTTATAGGTAAGGTCTCTACAAGCTTGGCAACAGACAGTGGACCAGCATCTGAGTTCTTGGCATATGGATGCTCCTCCAGTATCAAGTACTCTGGTGCCATCTACACCTCCATTATTCACGCAAAGGCAGGAGCCCTCTTCTGATCAAAATTCTGATTATTGCATTGCTCCTGATGAAGTTCCACAAGAGAAATCTTTACCAGAATTTCCAGACTCTGGTTTTCATTCCTCCCTAACAGAACAAGTTCACTGTTTACAGAATTCTTTGGATGTTGAAAAAAGTTCCACAGAAGGCAGTGAAAGTTCCATAATGGAAAATCCCATTGACACAGTCAAATATGGCAAGGAAGCAGATGCAGGGAATGTTAGTGAGGAGCACGGTGAATGGAGTAAGGAGAGCTCAAACAATGAGCAGGATAATAGTCTGCTTGAAGAGTATTTGACTTCAGTTCAGCAGCTGGAAGATGCCGATGAGAGGACAAATTTTGATGAAGACACAAGAGACAGTAAGCTTCACATCACTTGTTCTCTGGAAAAGTTGGATGCCTTGTCTGATAGTGCTTCTGTAGATGAGGCTCGTCGACTATCTCCTACTTTGCAAGATGAAGTCAATCAGAGACCAGAGAATTGCAAATTAAATACAGAAGTTCAAGGGCAGCAACCAGAATGTGATTCTGCATTTCAGGTATTGCATGTTGGTGTTACTGTATAGCATGTCTGGTCTCTTGGATCACAAAAATTCCCTTTTTTTTTTTTGGAAGGGGAGAACTTCTCCCAGTTTTGTTACTATTTATATAGAATTTGTATTCTTGTCCTGTATTTTCCAGATTCTATATAATGAGCTGAGTCTTCATTTTGATTTTGTTAGCTTTTTACTTGGCTGTAATATACCAAACAATATTTATATTTAAATCTATATGCACTTTACTTCTTATCAGTTATATCAATAATATTTCTATTTCATGTACTCATTTCCTTTCAAGAATAAACTCAATTATTTTAAAGAGAACAGAAAATTTTACCTTACAGGTACAAGTAAGAGGATTTTTTTTTTCTGTATCTAAGGGGATTAATTACATTGCAAGAATGCATTTATTAAAGTTAGTATAAATAACCAATAGGAAAATTGTGAACTGTTGAAATTTGCCAGTTTCCTTGCCTTTTTCTTCCCTTCTGAGTGAAAGCAAGCATTATAACCAAATTTAGAAAGGAAGCTATGATTATAGGTTTCCTCAGTGGGGATGATTAAATTGTCTCGTAGAAAACCTTAATGTTGTACATCAGTTTTAACATATAAAGTAAAATGTTCCATCCAGGATTAAGATCAAGCTTACTTAGGCAACCCATGCGCATTTCTCTTTGATAAGCAGTTACTAGGTTGCATTAACTTGGAATAATCTCATGGTAAACATTTTTCTTTTCATTAAATCCTTTTTTCCCTACAGTTAAGCATTGTGTGCCAATATATTGTCAGAAATTAACACAAGTTCATCTTCTGTGTTCCTGCTTATATTATATATATTTTAGCAAAAGGTTCACTTCACTTTTGACCTGTGCCTCACAGTGGGAAACTTTTAAAATAATGCAAGTAGTAGAATATGAATGACTTTGTTTAAAGAATTATTTTCTATCTAATCTGAAATAGTGCCACATTTGAAAGACAATTTAACTGTGCTTAAAGAAAATAAACCTCACTTTGCTTGTTAAAAAGAATGTATAACTTCAGGAAGAAATAAATTGTGTTTGGATGTTATAGGTAAAAGGTGTTTGTAAATCAAAGGTAATTTTTGCAAGTTGGCATTTTGATCTTTGAGAATGTTATAATATCATTGAATAACACAACCTGATTTCCTCCAACCTATGACATACAACTATTTAAACCTGTAGCAATACTTAAGTGTTCTCTAAATGTAGGTGCTAAATACTGATTTATTATTATGTTAAAGTCATTAGATCCCTTTCTGTGAAGTCATAAACATAAAAACTTCTGATCCTTCAAGAATGAAGTTGAGGATCATGTGGTACACTTTAGTAGTTATAAACCTTTCTCCAGTACGGTAAGATGTATTTTTCTTGGTTTATAAATATGTAGCACTCAGGTTGAGAAGACTTGGATTTCTTTCTCAGAAATCTAGAATTCCTTGAAAAGGAAATGTTTTCTTTCTCTTATAAACAAAACAACAGTCTTACCTTCAAAAGTATTTTCCCTAGTGAAGCATGTGTAACACTGAATGCATGTTATATAAAAACTGAATTTTTTACTTTTTGAATAATGCTAATATCTTTTATTAATGATTTTGAATATACCCTATTTTTCTATTTTACAGTTAAGTGCCTCATTTGCTGCCCATAGTTAGACAAAGGAAAACCAATTTGCACTGCACTAGTATCAAAATACTGCTTCATAATCCTTGATTTTTCATGAAAATTGCTGAAATGTCTGGTTCAGTATTACCTAAGTAAGTTTCTGCTAACATCCTCACCTTCCTCTCTTTAAAGAAATGACAAAACATAACTAAATTCATTTGATCATCAATGTTTATCAGGATTTCCTTTTACCTTTACCTTATTTTTCTAACCCATTAATATTCAGCATACTTTCATTAAAATTTGGCAGCATATGAAGGAATTACTAAAATTCTGCTCCTCATCTATGTTTTGTTTAACTTTTACTAGTGTTTCAAAGTGCAAGAATATTAAATAACCCCCCTCTTAACTGTGTAGATTATCTTGAATGTAGATAGAATGAAAATAATGTAAATCTTTGCAGGAAAACTGTGGCATAGATTAATATATTTTGATGCGTTTACAATGTAACTTCAAAGTAATTTATGTAACTAGGATATTTGGTTTTAACTTTATGGGCTGCTCATTCCTCTGGATGAAGAGGGAATGGTCTAGTAAGATTTAGGAAGCTGAGTTTTGAACACGGTCTTTGTGTTTTCTAACAGGGAGAAGTTTAGTTTAGCTGTGCTGTTTTAATTCACCTCTGTTCTCTTGATTTATGGAAGATTCAATTTATCAATTAGAAATTCATGCAGAAGCACAAAATCATGTGAGAATGGAAGGAACTTTAGAGAATATTTAATCTGGTTGTTTTAACGATGAAGCCAAAATATAGAAAAGTTAATTGATTTGTCTAAGGTTATCAGTAGTAGTAGTAAATAGGCTATGAAGACTTGTTACTATATTCTAAAATTTTATTGTGCCCTCTCTACCAATCTTTACAGTTAGTGAATCAGTGAGGAAGTCCCTGCATATTTTTCATTCTCTTCGAAAGAAGATATTCCTCTAAGAGAGCTACAGCTCTACCACTCCAGGTAGAGGTGCTTATCAAAAACAATTTTTTCAGAACCCTACGTGCATCTTTTCAAGAAATGAGAGTTTATTAAAATGGCTTTAAACACAAACAGTAGTAATCAGAACTGTAGAGTAGAATCACTGCATCTTAGAATTCACTTACTTGATGACAGGCAGTATGACAGACTGCTGAGACATGTAAAGCTTTCTAGTGAGATTCTGAGTTGGATTATATTTTATCTTCCATTTTATAAAACAGCAGGTAAAGGTTTAACTCTCCTGGTGTGCAGAAAGCTCTAACCATGATAACGGATAATATATAATTTAGTTTAGTTTTATAAGTTTAATTATAAAAGACCTCACAATATGCATGGTTTAGCTGCACTGTTATTTGTATATATGTAAATAGTTTTATTCTTGAATAATGTGGGTGCCATTCTTGAATGTGTGCTTTTATTTGTTTTGGATTATTTTAAACATAACACACCATAATTTATTTTCCTTTTATCCAATTAATATAAGTCTAGTTCTACTTTCAATAAATATTTTCAGGAAAATGCAGGCTTAAGATGTTATATTGTCTCCATTTGTACTTTTTTCCTTCAAAAATCTTAGAGTTGGTTTTATAACAATAATATAAAATTAACCTTTCCTCCCTCCCCCCAGATAATTAAAACACAGGAAAAAGAAAAAAATGGAATGATCTGATAAATTCCCCATTCATAATTAGGAAAAGAGACTTAATGTTTAATAAATATTTTTATTTTGCCACATTCTTTATTAAATTTATCACACTGCAATATTAAAAATTTTAATCTGATACCTTCATTCATGAAGTGAAGCAGAAATAGTCTATAAAGAATACTGTAACATTTTTGGTGATATTGCTTTCACTGATTAAGCCTAATGTGCCATATAAAAATTAAAAGTCAAGTAAACAGAACAATCCACACAGCCTTGGAGAGAAGTAATTATCTTAAAAATGAAGTGTTTCTTATCTGTGAATGAAAATCACACTAAATCTTAATTCCTTTATTGATTTTAGTGACTAGCAGGAGTTGCTCTATGGTATCTTTGTTCATTTTTGAATTAAATTTATTTGAGTGTTTTGTAATAGTTTTAATACTGACAATAAAAATTGAAAAATAATTTACATTTCAAGTTTTTCTTTAATTTTGTTGTAGGGATGTAGATAATTTAAAGTGGCTATGGTGTGTTTTATGAAGGCTTAATATTTTATATTATACTTATTTAATTTGTATTTGAGTCTCTAATTTTAAATAAAAGGTTTATACATTTGCGTGCTCCACCTGTTTATTTTAGTGATTATTAGTAATGCTTGTTATTCATTGTTCTTGCGGTTAACAGGTAGATAAGAATAAATTGCAAGCAAAACTGTTCTAAGGATGGTTCAGACTATTTGTCATTAAGTAATTGAATTTATAACAGAATGGTACCAACCTTATAAAAATGGATATGACATAAAAGGAATGCTGATTTAGTTTTTTAAATATAGATTTCGTTATCTCTAGCATACTTACCAGAATTCTCTAGGTGGAGAAGAACAGATATTATCCCTCAAAAGACATAGGTGACACTGTCAGGTGCTGGTACAGACACTGGTGCTGGGAATCATAAAGAACAGGGAATATCTCATATATTGAAATTAATTTATGTAAACTGTACATTTTAAAATGGACAATTTGATATTTTTGACACATATATGTGTCTATCAAACCACTATAATAATCCGCATACATATATCCATTACCCCCAAAAGATTACCCATCCCCTTTATAACACCTCCCTCTGTTTTGGCTGGTTTCTTTTACTCAACATAATTATTTTGAAATTCATCTGATTCCTTTTTATTGCCAAGTGGTATTCCATTGTATATATTTGCCTTAATCTGTAGTCTATAAATCTGATGGGTATTTGGGTTGTTGCCAGTTTTTTGGCTATTGGAAGTAAAGCTGTTGGCCGGCGCTGTGGCTCACTTGGCTAATCCTCCACCTGCAGCACCGGCACCCCGGATTCTCGTCCCGGTTGGGGCACCGGATTCTGTCCTGGTTGCTCCTCTTCCAGTCCAGCTCTCTGCTGTGGCCCGGGAAGGCAGTGGAGGATGACCCAAGTCCTTGGGCCCTGCACCCGCATGGGAGACCAGGAGGAAGCACCTGGCTTCTGGCTTCGGATCGATGCAGCGTGCCGGCCGTAGTGGCCATTTAGGAGGTGAACCAACGGAAGGAAGACCTTTCTCTTTGTCTCTCTCTCACTGTCTAACTCTGCCTGTCCAAAAAAAAAAAAAGTGAAGCTCTGGGGCCTGTGCTGTGGCACAGTAGGTTAATCCTCCGCCTGTGGTGCTGGCATCCCATATGGCCGCTGGTTCTGGTCTCGGCTGCTCCTCTTCCAATCTGGCTCTCTTCTATGGCCTGGGAAGACAGTGGAGGATGGCCCAAGTCCTTGGGCTCCTGCACCTGCATGGGAGACCTGGAAGAATGGGAGATCTGGAAGAGGCACCTGGGTCCTGGCTTCGGATCGGCGCAGCTTGGGCCGTTGCAGCCATCTGGGGAGTAAACCAACAGATGGAAGACCTTTCTCTCTGTCTCTCCTTCTCACTGTCTGTAACTCTACCTCTTAAATAAATAAATAAAATCTTAAAAGAAAAAAAAAAAGACAGATCCACTTTAAAAAAAAACAAACAAGTGAAGCTGCTTAATCTCTAAAGATTAAATGAGGGTCCTAGGAATTTAACTGTGTTCATTTTGTCTCTTGCATTACTGACTGAGGCAAAACAGGTGCCATTTAAAAATTTTTTTAAAGTTAGAAAACCAAAAGAAGTCAGAAGGAACCAAATAAGGACTATAAGATGATTTCCCATTAAAACACTTGCAAAATTGTCCTTGTTTGATGAAATAAATGAGCAAGAGCATTGGCATGGTGGAGAAGGACTCTGGTGAAACTTACTGGGCATTTTCTTTTTTTTTTTTTTTAACTTTTATTTAATGAATATAAATTTCCAAAGTACAGCTTATGGATTACAATGGCTTCCCCCCCATAACGTCCCTCCCACCCGCAACCCTCCCCTTTCCCACTCCCTCTCCCCTTCCATTCACATGAGGATTCATTTTCGATTCTCTTTATATACAGAAGATCAGTTTAGCATACATTAAGTAAAGATTTCAACAGTTTGCTTCCACACAGAAACATAAAGTGAAAAATAATAGATGATTTTTTAAATGATGATGAAATCAGATCAGACCTATTGTCATGTTTAATCCCAGTGAGAGTCAAGTTGGGAATTGATAATTTCTTCTTCTTCTTCTTCTTCTTCTTCTTCTTCTTCTTCTTCTTCTTCTTTTTTTTTACAGAAGATCAGTTTAGTATACATTAAGTAAAGATTTCAACAGTTTGCACCCCCATAGAAACACAAAGTGAAATATACTGTTTGAGTACTCGTTATAGCATTAAGTCTCAATGCACAGCACATTAAGGACAGAGATCCTACATGAGGAGTAAGTGCACAGTGACTCCTGTTGTTGACTTTACCAATTGACACTCCTGTTTATGGCATCAGTAATCTCCCTATGCTGCAGTCATGAGTTTCCAAGGCTATGGAAGCCCCTTGAGTTCTCCGACTCTTATCTTGTTTAGACAAGGTCATAGTCAAAGTGGAGGTTCTCTCCTCCCTTCAGAGAAAGGTACCTCCTTCTTTGAAGACCTGTTCTTTCCACTGGGATCTCACTCACAGAGATCTTTCATTTAGGTGTTTTTTTTTTTTGTTTTTTTTTTTTGTTTTTTTTTTGCCAGAGTGTCTTGGCTTTCCATGCTTGAAATACTCTCATGGGCTTTTCAGTCAGATCCAAATGCCTTTAGGGCTGATTCTGAGGCCAGAGTGCTGTTTAGGACATCTGCCATTCTATGAGTCTGCTGAGTATCTCACTTCCCATGTTGGATCACTCTCCCCTTTATTTTATCGGTTAGTATTAGCAGGTACTAGACTTGTTTATGTGCTCCCTTTGACTCTTAGTCCTTTCATTATGATCAATTGTGAACTGAAATTGATCACTTGGACTAGTGAGATGGCATTGGTACATGCCACCTTGATGGGATTAAATTGGAATCCCCTGGTATGTTTCTAACTCTACCATTTGGGGCAAGTCAGCTTGAGCATGTCCCAAACTGTACATCTCTTCCTTACTGGGCATTTTCTGCTAAAGCTCTGGCTGTATTTTCTTTTCTTTTTAAGATTTATTTATGTGAAAGAGTTACACAGAAGGAGAGGCAGAGAGAGAGAGAGAGGTCTTCCATCTGCTGGTTCACTCTCCAGTTGGCCGCAACGAAGCCAGGAGCCAAGAGCTTCTTCCAGGTCTCCCATGTGGGTGCAGATGCCCAAGGACTTGGGCCATCTTCTACTGCTTTCCAAGCCATAGCAGAGAGCTGGATCGGAAGTGGAGCAGCCGGGACTCCAACCAGCGCCCATATGGGATGCCAGCACTGCAGGCGGCGGCCCTGCTCTGGCTATTTTTCAAAATGCTTTCCTCATAAGCAAATGTTGTTTCTCTTTGATCCTCTAGAAAGTCTGCAGGCAAAATGCCTGGAACATCCCCAGAATTATTGCCATCAACTCTGTTCTTGACTGGTCTACTTTTAGGTAAACATTGCTTTACCTGTGCTTTATCTTCAATATTGTACTGGTAAAGCCATGTTTCACCTTGTGTTCCAATTCTTTGAAGAAATGCTTCAGGGTCTTGAAACCACTTGTTAAAAATTTCTTTGAAAGCTCTATTCATGTTGCAGCTGCTCTGGGCACAACAGCTTTGACACCTTTAGAACAAAAAGTTCTACTTTAGCTTTTCAGTCATTATTGTGTAACCTGAAGCAATTGAATTATCTGTTATGCTGGCTGTTGTTTCTGCTGTTTTTTTCCCACTTTTTTATCTTAATTTTTAATTAGTTTTTAACAGATTCAGTGTGATTTTAGATGTGATTCTAAGAACAAATGATATTTCCTCCCTTCCTGTTTCTGCTGTTAATTGTTGGTTCTCTTCATTTAGAACATGAATAGATTAATTCTTTACTTGCAAATTGATTTGGATTTTCTGCTGCTATGGACTTGATCTTCAACATTGTCTTGACCCTTAAAACAGTTGTCAGTTTTAAAACTGCTAGTATTTTTTGGGTCATCTTCTCAAATTTTTCTATAAAACATCAATGATTTAACTCTGATATTTGTTCTTGCTGGAATTTTAGCAAAATTAATCTTGCCCTGATAAGGACTCTTTTCAAACTGATATCTTTCTCCTCAGTGCCTCCAATTACATCCTGTTAATCCATGTTATAACAAGTTACTATGAGTTTATTTTGGTGTATGAAAATTTTGAAATCCGTGCATAGTTTTTTCATATGTATTTCCCACAAACTTTGTGAAGACCCCTTGTACTTTCACTTGTTTTGGGTAAATATCTAGTAGTGAGACAGCTGGATCATAGGTATATGTGTAACTTGAAGGAAACTGCCTGGGTAGGTATGCCAGGGTCTGTGGCCAGCAGCAGCTGGTGCAGGAAGCCATGGAGAGTAAGAGGTAGAATGGGGCCCTGTGTGTCCAGGGCCAGGAGAAGCAATGTGGGGAAGTAGTGCTTCATGGAAAGTGAGCCTGGGGTCTTCACTGAACTTATTAAAGGGTGCAGTTGCTGAGGAGTCCACGTAGAATAAATATGGATTTTATGCCCTGAGAATTTTGAAAAATTAAAGCCAATTCATGTGACATCCGAAAGAAGAACCAGCAAGCTCTGTGGTTCAGACTTGACACAGTATTTTTTGTGAAGCAGGTGATTAATAATGTTTATACTACTCAAGCCATACTAAGTGTGTAACTGAACTGTACCCATTAAGATGTCCATATAGGAGAGACATTATTAGAGTCTAAAGAATTTTCACAAAGTTTTCGTATAGCTATAAAAGCTTTGACACTAAGCAAATTGGGTGTGATTTGATAGGTACACAACAGTTTTTCCAGATTGCAAATGTTTGAATTCAATGCAAAGATGTCAGCAAAAGAAGTTGCTTTACACTTTGTCAGTTGTGTTCCTGTTAATGAACAACTGTATGAATTAGGTGGATTAAGAGAACGACTGATTAATGTAGGCACATGAAATCATGATGACTGGATCAGTGCAGGGAGACCAGTCACAGAAAAAAGGATACAAAGTATATTGAAGGCAAAATTATATTTAACTTAGTGGCAACTGTATCTGACAGAAAAATGATATATGATGAAAAGATAGCGGAGTTAGACAATTTGCAGAGGAACCCATGGATACAGATCAGGGTAGTAATATTTTAAGTACTATTCAGACAGAAGTTGCCAAACACCAGATGCTTATGGGAGAAGTATAGAAATTAAAAATATATGTGATTGAAAATATCAGAAGGAAAAGCAACCATCTCCCTTTTATTTTGGAATTGTTAGCCCTTAGCATAACACTGACAGTTAATACTACTAGTAAAAAAGCCAAAAGAAAAACAATGCAAAAAAAAACTGAGGAAGCCAAATGAAGAGGATGTTTTGTGATATATCCATGTTTCTACTTAAACATGAATTTTCATGGAAACCATTAAATATAAAGACCTTTGAGCAGCATCTTAAATGGCTCAGTACATGTTTAGCAATAATACCAGTATGTTTTCTGGTTGGTTGTTTCTTTTAAAGATATATTTATTTGAGAGGCAAAGTTACAGACAAAAAGAGGGAGAGACAGAGGTCTTCATCCTCTGGTTCATTCCTCAAATGGCCACAATGGCTATAGCTGGACTGATCTGAAGCCAGGAGCTTCTTCAGGGTCTCCCACCTGGGTGCAGGGGCCCAAGGACTTGGGCCATCTGCTGCTGCTTTCCCAGGCACATTAGCAGGGAGCTGGATCGGAAGTGGAGCAGCTGAGACTGGTGCCCGTATGGGATATGGCGCCACAGAAGGAGGCTTAACTATACACCATAGCACCTGCCCCTGTTTTGTTTTTAACACTTGGATTAATCAATCTTTTCCCTAAGTGCATCATATGCATGTACTCCATATTAAATAAAAGTGATATTTAGAGTGCTTTCACAAATTTTTTTTTTTTACTTATTTGAAAATCGGAGTTACACAGAGAAGGAGAAGCAGAGAGAGAGAGAGAGAGAGAGAGAGAGAGAGAGAGAAAGAGAGATCTTCCATACACTGGTTCACTCCCCAATTGTCCGCAATTGTGCCATGTGGGTGCAGGGGCCCAAGGACTTGGGCCATCTTCCACTGCTTTCCCAGGCCATAGCAGAGAGCTGGATCGGAAGTAGAAAAGCCGGGTCTCGAACTGGTGCCCATATGGAATGCCAGCACTGCAGGTGGAGGCTTTACCCTCTACACTATAACGCCAGCCCCAGAATCCCTAATTTTTAAAAGCTACCAATGAGGGCCAGCGTTGTGGCCTAGTGGGTTAAGCCACCACTTGCAGCACCAACATCCCATAGGGGCACTAGTTCAAGATCCAACTGCTCCATTTTTCCTGCTAATGTGCCTGGGAAAGCAGCAGAGGATGGCCCAAGTGCTTGGGCACCTGCACCCACATGGGAGACCTGAAAGAAGCTCTTGGCTCCTGGATTCATCCTGGCCAAGCCCTGGCTGTTGTAGCCATTTGGAGAGTGAACCAGTGGATGGAAGACCTCTTCCTCTCTGTCTGTCTTTCTTGTCTTTCCTCTCCCTTTGTAACACTTTAAAATAAATAAAAAACAGGCTGGCGCTGCGGCTCACTATGCTAATCCTCTGCCTTGTGGCACCAGCACACCGGGTTCTAGCCCCGGTCGGGGCGCCGGATTCTGTCCCGGTTGCCCCTCTTTCAGGCCAGCTCTCTGCTGTGGCCAGGGAGTGCAGTGGAGGATGGCCCAAGTGCTTGGGCCCTGCACCCCATGGGAGACCAGGAGAAGCACCTGGCTCCTGCCTTTGGATCATCGCGGTGCGGTGGCCACAGCGCACCAGCTGTGGCAGCCATTGGAGGGTGAACCAACGGCAAAGGAAGACCTTTCTCTCTGTCTCTCTCTCACTGTCCACTCTGCCTGTCAAAAAAATTAAAAAAAATAAAAATAAAAATAAAAAGCCACTAATGTTCTAATTATAGTGGAATGTGATTGAGGAACACTGGGCTGGAATTTGATCTTATTTATCTCTAACCTATGCATGTGGGATTAGCCATCATCAATTATGAAATTTTAAAAAAGGATACTGGTGTTGTGGCACAGAGGGTAAAGCCACTGCCTGCAATGCCAGCATGCTGCATCAGCCAGGGCTGGGCAGACTGAAACCAGAAGCCTGAAATTCCATCCTGGTCTCCCAAGTGGTGGTAGAGGCCCAAGTACTTGGGCCATCTTCCACTGCTTTCCTAGGTGCATTAGCAGGGAGTGGGATCTGAAGTGGAGCAGCTGGGTCTTGAAACAGCACCTGAGGGGCTGGCGCCTTGGCACACTAGGTTAATCCTCCGCCTGTGGCACCGGCATCCCATGTGGATCCAGTTTTAGTCCCGGTTGCTCCTCTTCCAGTCCAGCTCTCTGCTGTGGCCTGGGAAAGCGGTGGAGGATAGTCCAGGTGCTTACGCCCCTGCACCCACCGGGAGGAAGCTCCTGGCTCCTGGCTTTGGATCGGTGCAGTTCCAGCCATTGCGGCCATTGAGGAGTGACCCAACAGAAGGATGACCTTTCTCTCCGCCTCTCTCTCTCTCATTGTCTGTAACTCTGCCTGTCAAGTAAATAAATTATTAAAAAAAAAAAAAACAGCACCTGAATGAGATGCCAGTGTCACAGATGATGGCTTGAACCACCACATCACAATGCTAGCCCTATTAATAAGTCTTTAGAAAACAAAAAAGAGGGGCCAGTATTGTGACATAGCAGGTGAAACTGCCGCCTGCCATGCCATCCCATATGGGCATTGGTTCATGTCCAGCTGCACCACTTCTGATCCAGCTCTCTGCTAATGGCCCAGAAAAAGCAGCAGAAGATGGTTCATATAGGTGGGCCCCTTCCACCTACATGGGAGACTCAGATGAAGCTCCTGGTTCCTGGCTTCCCTGTGGCTACTTAGGGCATGAAGCAGCAGATGGAAGACCTCTTTCTCTCTGTATCTGCCTCTCTCTAACTCTGACTTTCAAAATAAGTAAATAAGTATTTTATAGAAAACTTTTATTTAATAAATATAAATTTCATGGGTGTAACTTTTGGAATGTAGCAGTTCTTGCCCCCATACCCACCCTCCCACCCGCACTCTCATCCCACCTCCTACTCTGTCTCCCATCCCATTCTTCATTGCGATAGTATTTCTCTCTAGTTCTCAGTGATTTAAATGTGACCAAGCCTTCTGTACTTTGTCACACAAAGCGGGTTTTCCAGGTGACTATTTTGGTGAGTGTCAAAATAAGAATTTATGGTGTATTACTGTCGATTCACTTTGAATTAAAATATATATAGCAGCAAAAAAAGATTCATTTTTAATTATCTTTATATACAGAAGATCAATTATATACTAAGATTTCAACAGTTTGCACCCACTCAGACATAGAAAGTATAAAGTACTGTTTGAAGACTAGTTTTACAGTTAATTCTTACAGTACAACACATTAAGGATAGATGTCCTACATGGGGAGCAAGTGCACAGTGATTCCTGTTGTTGATTTAACAATTGACACTCTTATTTATGAGGTCAGTGATCACCGGAGGCTCTTATTTATTTTTTTTTTAAAGATTTATTCATTTATTTGAAAGTCAGAGTTACACAGAGAGAGGAGTCTTCCATCCACTGGTTCACT